TGAAAATATTTTCAAAAGCAACGATTATCAGTTCTCCCCTTACCTTATTCTCATCTCGCTTGTGAGCATATGCTCCGTATCCTAAGGAGCCAATACACAACAGAAATTCCACGCCACTCAACACGAGTATAATAACGCTGAAGGCTTTGGCTCTGGTCATGTTCTGATCGTGGTAGTTCTCGTACGAATACCAGCTGAATGTTCCAGTTTCCTCCCCAGTGCAAGCCGTGTGAACCGCCATACTGTAGCAAACAATTAGCAGTATTGACAAGAGGAGGCATATCAAGGAAAACAGCAAAAAGTCTGTCAACTAAAAGCAAAATACGTAGTTAAAAAAACCTTAAAGTTTGTTTCTTGCTTCATTTACTTGTTTTGTTTTGGTTTTGGTTTTTGATCATGAAAAACCAAAACCAAAACAATTCTTAAAGTTCAAGAAGTATTAAAATCCTTTTTGCACTAAAGCTAAGATTGGCAAAAGGAATAACAGATTGCATGAATGGGAAGAAAAATCATAAATAATCGCTATTTCGCTGAGAAGAAACAAAAATATGGTTTTATCTATAATAGTTGCAACTGAGTTGATAACTTAAAAACTTGTACGCAAGTTGAGGAGATCATAGGCGTACGGGTCGGGAGGGCGAGGGGAGCTGCAGCCCCCCCAAATTTTGGGCAACTCAGATTTTTTCGGTAGCGAGTGAAAATTTGGGCAAAGCCAGTTTTTAAAGACGTCTCCATTTTATTTAATTATTTTAAAGACCTGAATATTAACCTGAAGTCGGCGTAATAAATTACCTTACAGTGGTTGCTTAGTATGTGAGGAGTAATTTACATATTTGCAGTTTTTTTTTGGTTGGGCACTATACTGTACTGCACTATTTGGAATGGGCTATTTCCAGTCGAGAATTGATTAAAATAAACTTTCGCATAACTTTCTAGAATCATCTCCACTCGACGAACAGTGTATGGCAGATAGCATTTATTGCCTGCATAGCAAGCGTTTCCGCGCGAGTTCGACTGGAAACGCTTGCTACGCAGGCTACAATGGGTATAAATGAAGAAGTGGCTGACTAATTCTCAGTTTGAATTACGAGAAGAATCTTAATTCGTTTAAAAAATCTATCGAGCGGTTTAAAATTATTCGCTAATTTGTTAAAGTAGACCGAAATGTTTACAAAACCGCTAACAAGAGTGTCTCGATACATACTAATCAAATCCTTCTTTCGATTCTAGCAATCAAGCAGAGCTATCTCCACGATCTTTCTCACATGTTTTTAAAAAGATTAAAACTACTATGAGGTGATATTGCAGGTCAAAAGCGCTTCGTTTTCTACAGATAGCGGCCAAAAATCAAGATTTTCCTTTTCTTACCGTATTTCTAATAATAAAAACTTCATTGCAAAATATCTCGATAACGCTCTTAAGGTTTTGCTTATACTTCACGAGCATCGAGGCGACCGTATTGGAGAAAAAAGCTCCTGTGAACGATTTTGTAAGCTTCCCGTCCCAAGAATCATTGCTGAAGTAAAATAGGTGATGGAGTCATTTCGTTGCTATGACTACTCCGATGTCATTGCAACCCTGGTGATGACAAATTTTCATCTTAATACAACTGTGGTCGCAATTTTTCCAAATGTTTGTTTATGGCGACGTAGTTTATGCTCAGACTTGGTATTGACCCTGAAAACTGTATCGAGCCACCTTCATATGCCAGGACGGCCTATGTTGTTGCAATATGGCCCTCGTTTCTTTTCGACTCTTTCGTAAAAATTTGGGCAACTTGCGAGATGTTTTTGGGCAAATGGTTTACCGCCCCCCCTGGCAAAAAATTTCCCGTACGCCTATGGAAGAGATATAGTAAAGAGTGAGGGAATTAAGGTTACGCAACTCACGTAATATTTTTTGGTGTTATCTGCTTTCTCCATATTTGCGTCGAGGACTCCAATCGCACCAGTAGCTGCAACCTATGACAAATACCTTAAGATTAATGTAATTAATCTGGAAAAGAAAAGGTAGAGGTAACTCTCACTGAATAACTGCGGCGATCTCCTCGTCCTTTCTTTTAGATCAAAATTGTAAGATCCCACGCACAAATTAAGGCAAATTGAGGCCCATGCCTTAATTTACCCGAGGGGGTCTAAATCAGTAAGCTGTCTAGAGCTGATCTTTCTGCAGACAGTGTACTTATAAGAATACAGACGCAACCGTCAGCAGTAACTATTGCAGATCTAAATCTTTATAGCAGCTGCAGGTTTGTATAAGATTGTCAGTTACCATAAGTACAAACTGAATTATATAATAACTGCTTTGATGCATTTACGATGATCACGCCTTATCTATCAGTGAACACTATGGACGTAAACCAGTTTAGTCTTCTTGAATGTTTGATTGGCATCAGTTATGATTATGGCCATAATCGTTAACAATTCTATTATGTTCATTGAAGTGCCGAGTTTATGGCTTAAAACTATTCAAAGTTCAGAATGTAACTAGCGTTCTTCTAAAGGAAAGAAAACAAATTTAATCTGCATGTGAACTAAAAAACAAAAGATTTTACTATCAGTATCTCTCTGACTTTCACTGATCATTAACTGTTACACTACATGAAACATCAAATGAACGATCTCCTCCTCACACAGAATGTGAACTGAACAACTGACTTAAAATCTCTCTACTATGTGTTTCAGTGTTCGCTCGTTAATGAGTTTGGCTCAGTGGCTCCCGCAGAAATATGCACTCACTCATTAATTTTTCGATATGCTTTCCCTAAACTGCTTCGAAGTAAGTAGAAATTAAAATAGGGTATCTTGATCTCTCATGCAGCAGGGACGTTTTCCTGTTTACTAAATAATTCAGATGAGGAACTTTACATGTGATCAGTTTTACGTCCAAAAATGGACACTTGTCTCAGGGGTGTACATGTAATCCATAATAAAATGATCAAAATTAGACTATGAAACTGCTTATAATAATTAGCAAATTCTAGAAACGTTTTTATCCGTATACGGAATCAATAGCACTATATATTTGCCCACGAAATCCTAAAGCGTGACCACTTTATGATGATCAAAATTTGTCAGCAAAATCTACAAATTAATTGGGCCAACCTTTCTCCTTTTTTGTTCTTTTCCATAAAGTGAACACGCGCCAAAATGCATGCTGTAAAACTGATATAAATCGTTTTGACCGAAAGAGGTATGAATTGGACTTACAATAACACCGATCCACAGAGCCAACAGCATAACACTTGTCCAATGATCCACAGCAAGTCTAACTACAACTCCCATTACGATCAATAAACCTCCAAGAATGCCATGCCACACACCTAAGATCTTTAAAACGCCATCAAAATACACAATTGTCTCGTCACGAACACCCATCCTTTGAGAAGAGCTTAGCTACATTCAACCAAGGACTTGTCGAGTGTCCGATGATCTAGAATCACCCCAAAACAAGACGTTTATGATAAACGTATTCAAGATATTAACATAATATCCAATGAGCATGCCTTAGGCTAATTAGGCTGTCTGCGTGGCGTCGACGTTTAGTAATTACTCTTCCGTTAAGCTACCCCGGCTCTGCATGACTGACTCAAGATATCAACATAATTATGGAGGCTGTGATGGAGGTATTCGCTGGATATTTTTTTTGAGCCTGAATCGAGGAGCAAGACTTACTGCATGGTCTTTACCCTTGTAGAAATGGCCGGGCAGCCTTTTGAAACAACAATGACTTCTAGGGTCTTGTAGTATCCGCTTGATATATACGGGGTATCTAGTTCTGATCAAATCAGAACCTGCCTCCTCCTTTTAAGCTGATCGTTTATTCGTACTTTGGATGAGAAAAAGGCGAGCACGAAAACGCGAGCCTGATCGGTGACCTGAAAGACTCAACTAGGGACCAGAAGAGAAGCGCACGTTTTCTCCTTCCCGCCTACATTTGCGTGCAATTTCACATCGAAACAGAGACTTCTGGGAACGTTGCAGTCAGCATCAGGTCGATTCACCGGTCGTAGTTGACTCTTCCCAGTCCTTTCTAGTGCTTCAGGGCTCATGCGATCAGTTGTAAGAAACAAACAATTTTAAACTTAAAAGTGAGAATCATTTCTATGTCCCTTTCCTTTGTTCAGAAGGATTTCAGTTTCTCGCAGGATATCATAGGAAACGTGGCCGACGGCGGATTAACGACTATCTTGCCAGGCATGCACCAGTGCAGAAAATGATTACTACAAAACCACTTTATTCGTTTCAAAGTTGGGCAAAATGTCATAAACAATAACAAACTAAGCCAAAGCGTTATTGTTTAATACATTATCATACGTTTAAAAGGAGGAGGGGGGAGTTAATAGAAGATTTACAGTATTTCAGTTCTTTGTTTTGGCATCAGCCATCTCAGATACACCACTTTTAATGAATTAAACGTGATCTAATGATTTTGCTTAATAACAGTATAAAACAAAAAAATAACAATATAATACATGATGAAATTATTTGATTTGTGGAATGTTCTTACGCAACTGCATAAATCGCGTTCACAACTGCGAAGATGTTTCTTCATTTGATTTCATTTCCGCAGTTCTCACATACGAGTTATTTCATATACACATTAAGGCATTTGTCACAAAAGCAAAATAACACAACTCAGTTGACATGTCAACTCAACCTAAATCTAACATGCGCAGTTTTGCCGTTTTAAATCAATCCTGTAATGTCAAAATTACGTTACGGTTATAATGAATTTAGTAAATTAAAAGTATGTAAGCTAAGAGATTAATAAGGAAATCTTGAAATACGACGTATTTAAGTAAAAAATGCAAATTTTTCAAAGCATGACTGCAAAAATCGGTCACCATAGAAACGTCTCTATTGACGAACGCCTTAAAAAAAACTTTTGAAAGGACACCACCTCCCCAATATGGATGATCATTCTCTACCGTGGATTTTTCTAGTTTGAACAAAATAAAACGTCACATTGCCTTGATGACGTCAAAAAGGGGATAAATCAAAGAAAAGTATTCCAAAACTTTTCGTCATAAACTGTAAACTAAGATTGCAAATAACAAAAAAGATATTAAAAAAAAACATTTAAATGGAAGATTAACGTAAGCAGAGACGATGAGGAGAAATAGATTTCATCCCTCCATTTTCCTGCTTCGGAAAAGCGTCACATGTCTCAAGTTTCCGTCTGCAAAAAGATTTCGGATTTCGGATTTCGGAGTAAGGATCTAAACCTCATCAGTTGACATCTCTTTTCTACTGGAACATGAAACGGCAAATTCACGATCTCGCCAGCAGCAGAGGAGATTTCGAAATTCTTTTCTGAATACAGGATTCATCCCGGCGTAAATAAACGGATTTATTGCGTTGGATAGGTAGAAGAAAAACAAGCAGAGAAGTTCAACACTTCGCGGCATCGTCGCAACGAGCTTGAAGCGCCGTAAGACAACGATAATCCAAAAAGGGATCCAGCATATCATGAATGCAAACACCACTGCGAAAAGAGATTTGCTGATCTTAATCTCATTTGAGCTAATGGACGATGATGCGTTGATGTTGTGTTGACGGATCACTTTCGCGACCCTTATATAGCTAAAAAGAGTAGCTATGAGCGGGGTTAAAAAAAAGAAAATAAGAACAATACAGTAATGGATCGTTTTTCCTATCTCGTTGAGATGAGCAACGGTGCACTGGGCGTAGCCTGGTACAAATTCGTACGCTTGAAGACCAGCCAGGCGAGGGACTGCTGCGTAGCAAGCAACAGAAAACCAAACGATAGCCAACAACAAAAGTGACTTTCTCGCTGAAAAAAGTCTGTCGTATTGCTGGGTTGACCTGCATATCCTGACGTATCTGTTAACTGCTGTTAAACCCATAGTCACCGGAGAAGTGAAAATGACAAACAGACTGAAGAAGGCGTAAAGTTGGCAGATTGCTTCGCCGAAGATCCATTCGCCAGTAATAAGCACGCCAATACCAATAGGCATTACAAAGACCCCGGAGAGCAGATCAGTAACCGCCAAAGCGATGATATACAGATTGGTTGTTGTGCGTAATCGTACGTTCTTGTAAACGGACATACAAACCAAGATATTTCCTGTTAAGGACAGAACGTTTAAAATTACAAGTGAGGTTACTTCCACGGTGATAAGGAAGGAACTGCGAGAGCTCAGACTGTCCGCCATTATAATAACAAAGATGTCTGCAAGGATAAATGTAGTAAATGTTCAATATACACTGGACTTGTATTATTCAGCAAAGCCAGTTTTGACTGAGGTCATCATTGGTCAATCCGTACTAATCGTTATCAGGGCGGTAATCCCAGGTTTATGCAAATAGCTGTCCATTGCTACACAAAGGCTTTCATTTTCGGCTTTCTTTGACGAGTTTCCAACCGGAAAATGGGAGCCAAAGTAACACCCCGACACCGTACTTTATACGTTGTATCTTTTAAGATCAAAGCACCTGCACTAGTGGGGTTTGAGAGTGTTACGTGACTTCGGCCCAACTGGTTGCGAGGTAGACTAAAATCAATAACATCCTATATTTATTTTTTAGTACTTAAAATAGTTTTTCAGTCTTTAGAGGTCTATTGATATGTTAAAAATACTCTAGCTATAATTAACCACCGCTAGGTTTTCGATTGCCTGTCTTCCCCTGATCATTTACTGGTACGCTGCATGTCTTAAATCAAATAAAAACGTGTCTTAAGCGAACGTTTACGGCTGAAATACAATGCTCAACGCGATGGCTGCTGCAACGTCTATCGGCACGCAGTTTTGATAGGCCAGTCTCTAAAATACTGCAGAGTTAAAAGGAATGAAATCTAAGAGAGCTACTCGAATTGTAGAGAGGTGTTTTCTAGAGCAAGTGATATAAGCTGCATGTTTTAAATAAAGATGTGCACCAATATAATATAAAAACAGATCCAGAGGCAACTTATTAACAAATACTATGAACTTTTTTTTCCGTACGGACAAATGATAACATTTTTTAAATTAAACAATACACGAGTCGTCAGTTATCGGAACTCTCGTAATTCGTTATCATTTAAGAAGAGCTTGGCCAAGATTTAAAAAACCACTAATTTTCTGCGTGGTTAACTGATCGCAGAAACAAGACTTTGATGAAAGAAAAGAGCATTTTCACATGACGTCACGGCGGCCATATTGGTCTTCCAAGACAATAAAACGGCGGACACGTTGGAGTTCCAAAATAGTCTTCTTTTTTAAGCAAACCGGCTTTCTTTTGTTCCGGTAAATTTGCATAGATGCTGGTCACGGCGTGAAAACGCTCCATGCGAGTTATTAAACATAATTAGGTAACAATAAAAGCGCTTTTGTTGCTTTCCTTTTAATTCCTTTGAACTTTAGCTCGGCTGTTGTCAGAAAAATTATTGGGGACGGTTGCAGTTTATACTCCCTCAGTTTAAATCTTACACGTTAATAGTTTTATGCAACTGTGCTCTGCAGTAAAATACGGGAGAGTATCTAGGAACATTAAGCTCACATCTCTTCACCTGATGAAGGCAGCGGGTGCAAAATATGATTGCTGTAAAGCCACTTTTAGTTAATGTTTACTGACTTTACTAAGTAGGGCAAAGATCTATTACACAAGTAGGTCAATTGGATCAAAACCAATTGTTTTACGTGGTCGGCCGACAAAAAACAATCACACTTCATGAAGCGGCTAACACGCTTCAAGGGCTGCACCTCGGAAGCAATGTCACTGGGTACGGGAGAACCAATGCCAGTTGGTCTTGTAATAAAATATTAAAAGTCTCCAAAAAATGTATATTTCAAGACGAATCAAGCACTCAAGGAAAATTACCTCAATATGCATTACCAGTTCTAAGACAAAATTAACAAATACCACCAGTACCAAAAAGTGTCGCACAGATTTACGTCGTTCGAGATAACGGCATTATGCCAATAAATCAAGGCTTGGAGGAATCCTCCAAAGAGATGTTTTTTAAAAAAACCTCATTCGTGGTATTTAATGGAATAACTTAATTTTTCTTCTCCGTGAATTTTATATGACATAATCGACTACATTACGCTAGCTTGATTTAAACAAAGTAGTATAAAACGTTGGTTATATAACCTTTTTGGTGACATTCCAAACATACAGAAGTCTTTAAAAGAAGTCTTTATTAAGAAACCATGCAGACACAACAAACGTGTGGCTTTGCAATCAATGACTAGCTAAGCTAAGCTTAAATACCTATCAATGCCATAGAAAATTAAAAAAAGATTAACCCCATGCTATACATATGACCAGTGTCACTTGTGATTCTGTTGAAAAGATCACTGTCCCTTCGTATTCTTAATTACATCAGATATCAAAATGATCTCAAGTTGTTTGTATAGCCAAAACGATAGCCTCGTCGAAATAAGCCGTTAATCCGATCTAAATGTTCGCTTTGATAGGCAGATCCCCACACTTTTAATCCATACAGAAATAATGACATTGTCAAAGAGTCGTAAAGTTTACTAAGCTGATCTTTAGTGTACCCATAATACTTTCACACTTTAAGAATATACAGTCGACCAGCAGCTCTAGAAAGTAAAGAAGTCCAATTACGAGGATCTGCATGGAAAGCATTTCCCAAAAGTTTCAGCCACTCAATCTTATTGTATTATTTCATTTGAGAGAAAAGGTTTATGTCCTCAGGGTTTATTACAGGGCTTATGTTTGAGTGCCTTAGACTCTCTGCCAATGATTTTGTTTACAGTATTCCACCAACCCTTGGTCCCAGTTCCATCTTTTCTGTTTCCATTGCATACTACCTCCACTTGGTTGTTGCGGATTAGGTCATTTATCCTTGCTTGTAGGTCAGCATTTCTTGGCGTTACTATCTCTGATGGTACACAGGTGTTTAACCAGTGGCAACATATAATTTGGGGGGGGGGAGGTCCCTCGAAGACACCTTAACCTTTATCAGGGAAAAGCATTCGTTGAATATACCTGTGAAGGTGTTATCAAATAAGTGAATCGCCTCGATGATCATACATGCAAAGATTCATATCGTATAAAAAAATTCATTTCATACATTGCCTGGAATATTGATATCTCAAACTACTTTGACGTCAAAATAGCTAACGCTAAGTTTAGTTTTTGAGAAAAGGACAAATGAGGAGAAAATTTAGGAAAAGTAGAATCGAAACATGACATGCTGAGGAGGCATCTAAAACCTCAGTCATCAGTTCGTTGTTGTTTCTTTTCTGCCAGAAGTTGAAATGACAACATTACACCGATTTGCATAAGAGGATATTTTGGAACTCTCTCCTGAATACAGGATTCATCCCAACGTATATAAACGGGTTTATTGTGTTTGATAGATAGAAGAAAAACATGCAAAGTAGTTCAACGCTTCGTGGCATCATCGCAACGAGACGAAAGCGCCGTAAAACAGCAATAACCCCAAATGGGATCCAGCAAATAATGAACGCAAAAACATTTGCGAAAAGAGACTTACTGAGATTGATCTCATGTAAACTGAGAGACGATAACGCATTGATGTTTTGATGTCGGATCACTTTCGCAACCCTTGTACATGTGTAGCTAAAAAGAGTAGCTATGAGCGGGGTTAAAAAGAAAATAAGAACAATGCTGTAATTGACCGTTTTTCCTATATTGCTGAGATGACCAATGGAGCACTAAGCGTACCCTGGTACAAATTCGTACGCTTGAAGACCAGCCAGGCGAGGGACTACTGCGTAGCAAGCAACAGAAAACCAAACGATAGACAACAACAAAAGCAACTTTCCCGCAGTTCTCACATATGATTTATTTCATATACACATTAACGCATTTGTCACAAAAGCAAAATAACACAACCCAGTTGACATGTCAACTCAACCTAAATCTAACATGCGCAGTTTTTCCTTTTTTAAATCAATCCTGTAACGTCAAAATTAAGTTACGGTTATAATAAATTTAGTAAATTAAAAGTATGTAAGCTAATAGATTAATAAGGAAACCTTGAAATACGACGTATTTAAGTAAAAAATTCAAATTTTTCAAAGCATGACTGCAAAAATCGGTTGCCAGAGAAACGTCTCCGTTGACGAACACCTTAAAAAAACTTCTTAAGGACACCACCTCCCCAATATGGGTGATTACTCTCTACCGTGGATTTTTCTAGCTTGAACAAAGTAAAACGCCACATTGCCTTGATGACGTCAAAAAGGGGATAAGTCAAAGAAAAGCATTCCAAAACTTTTCGTCATAAACTGTAAACTAAGATTGCAAATAACAAAAAAGAAATTAAAAAACAATTAAATGGAAGAATAACGTTACCAGAGACGACGAGGAGAAAAAAAGATTTCATCCCTTCATTTTTCTGCTTCGGAAAAGCGTCACATGTCTCATGCAAGAAGCTGTCTACAAAAAGATTTCGCATGTACATAGAAAGGATCTTAACCTGATCAGTTGACATCTCTTTTCTACAGGAAAATGAAACGGCAAATTCACGATTTCGCCCGCAGCTATTTGAGTAAAAAGTGCAAATTTTTCAAAGCATGACTGCAAAAATCCGTTGCCAGAGAAACGTCTCCGTTGACGAACACCTTAAAAAAAACTTTTAAAAGGACACCACCTCCCCAATATGGATGATTATTCTCTACCATGGATTTTTCTAGTTTGAACAAAATAAAACGTCACATTGCCTTGATGACGTCAAAAACGGGATAAGTCAAAGAAAAGCATTCCAAAACTTTTCGTCATAAACTGTAAACCAAGATTGCAAATAACAAAAAAAATATTAAAAAACTTTTAAATGAAAGATAAACGTAAGCAGAGACGATGAGGAGAAATAGATTTCATCCCTCCATTTTCCTGCTTCGGAAAAGCGTCACATGTCTCAAGATTCCGTTTGCAAAAAGATTTCGCATGTACAGAGATAGGATCTAAACCTCATCAGTTGACATCTCTTTTCTACTGGAAAATGAAATGGCAAATTCACGGCGATTTCGCCCGCAGCAGAGGAGATTTCGAAATTCTTTTTTGAATACAGGATTCATCCCGGCGTAAATAAAGGGATTTATTGTGTTGGACAGGTAGAGGAGAAACATGCAGAAAAGTTCAACACTTCGTGGCATCGTCGCAACGAGCTTGAAGCGCCGTAAGACAACGATAATCCAAAAAGGGATCCAGCATATCATGAATGCAAACACCACTGCAAAGAGAGTTTTGCTGATCTTAATCTCATGTGAGCTAATGGACGATGATGCGTTGATGTTGTGTTGACGGATCACTTCCGCGACCCTTTTGTAGCTCAAAAGAGTAGCTATGAGCGGGGTTAAAAAAAAAAAAATGAGGACAATGCTGTAATGGATCGTTTTTCCTATCTCGCTGAGATGAGCAATGGAGCACTGAGCGTACCCTGGTACAAATTCGTACGCTTGAAGACCAGCCAGGCGAGGGACTACTGTGTAGCAAGCAACAGAAAACCAAACCATAGCCAACAACAAACGTGACTTTCTCGCTGAAAAAAATCTGTCGTATTGCTGGGTTGACCTGCATATCCTGACGTATCTGTTAACTGCTGTTAAACCCATAGTCACCGGAGAAATGTAGATGACAAACAGACTGAAGAAGGCGTGAAGTTGACAGATTGCTTCGCCGAAGATCCATTCGCCAGTAATAAGCACGCCAATACCAATAGGCATTACAAAGACCGCAGAGAGCAGATCACTTGCAGCCAAGGCGATGATATACAGATTGGTTGTTGTGCGTAATCGTACGTTCTTGTAAACGGACATACAAACCAAGATATTTCCTGCTAATGACAGAACGTTCAAAATTACGAGTGAGGTTACTTCCACGGTGATAAGGGAGGAACTGCGAGAGCTCAGACTGTCCGCCATTACAATAACAAAGATGTCTGCAAGGATAAATGTAGTAAATGTTCAATATAGTATATACACTGGACTTGAATTATTCAGCAAAGCCAGTTTTGACAGAGGTCGTCATTGGTCAACGCGTACTTCCTTGTCAACGCAGTGCTCCCAGGTTTATGCAAATAGCTGTCCATTGCGATACAGAGGCTTTCATTTTCGGCTTTCTTTAACGAGTTTCTAACCGGAAGATGGGAGCCAAAGTAACAGCCCGACACCGTACTTTATACGTTGTGTCTTTTAAGATCAAAGCACCTGTATTAGGGGGTCTGAGATTGTTGCGTGACTTCGGCCCAAGTGGTTGCGACGTAAACTAAAATCAGTAACATCCTATACTTATTTTTAGTCTTTAGATGTTTATTGGTATGTTAAAAACACTCTATAATCAACCACCGTGAGGTTTTCGATTGCCTTTCTTCCCCTGATCGTTTACCGGTACCCTGCATATCTTAAATGAAATAAAAAGGTGTCTTAATCGAACGTTCTGAAATACAATGCTCAACGCGTTGGCTGTTGCAACGTCTATCGGCAAGCAGTTTCGTTAGGCCGTTCGTCAGATGTACTTTCTCTAGTGAAAAGGAATTAAACCTAAGAGAGTTACTCGAATTGCAGAGAGGTGTATAGAGGTGTTTTCTAGAGCAAGTAACATTAAGCTGTTTTAAATTAAGATGTGCACCATTATAATATAAAAACACAGGAAACAAATTCGTAATTCGTTGTCATTTAAGAAGAGCTTAAAAACCACGAATTTTCTGCGTGGTTAAGATCGCAGAAACAAGACTTCGATGAAAGTATTGTTGGTTTTCACATGACGTCACTAAAATTCAAACTAAAAACTATCGATCCTACCGAGATTTTACTTTTACGATGCATTAGAGCAGCCGAAAACTAATTTTCATTCGCTTCAAAAGGGTTCTTGGTTTTGTGATAGAATAGTAACGCTTGAATTTCTAAGCTTTTGCGTGACGCGCCAAGAGAGCGTGTCATGTAGGTTAAAAAATGACCTGTTTCAGGAAATTTTGCTATATAAACAGTTCATGGGTTATAAAAAGTATTACTTTAATGTTTATGAGTTTCTCGAAGAATAAATTCACGCTTTTGTAGCAAAACTCGGTAACAGATGTTTCTGCTGGTTTCCGTCCGCCATATATTCGAGCTCATCCAGGTGAGCACCAGCACGGCGTAAAACATTTCTTCGGATATCTCGTATACGAAATATTCCTCTGACCTGAATCTTGGCGAGGGTCTTTGTATATGTACCTCCTTTCATTTCCCAGATTCTGGACTTTATCTATTGAACGGTTTTGATTTTTATTTTGATCTATTTTGAATGGCGTGACACTGAAAACCAGCAATAGAGTATTTTCACATGACGTCACGGCGGCCATATTGGTCTTCCAAGAAATTAAAATGGCGGATATGTTGGAGTTCCAAAGTAGTCTTCTTTTTTGTGCAAACCGGCTTTCTTTTGTTCCGGTAAATTTGCATAGATGCTGGTCACGGCGTGAAAACGCTCCATACGAGTTTTAAAAAACATAATTCTAAATCTAAGTAACAATAAAAGCCCTTTAGTCGGTCTTCGTGACGTAAACGCAACTTAGTAAAGTTTCGTTGCTTTTCTTTTAATTTTTTTGAACTTTAGTTCAGCTGTTGTCAGGAAAATTATTGGGAACGGTTGCAGTTTACTCCCACAGTTTAAATCTTACGTTAATAGTTTTATGTTACTGTGCTCACTGCAGTAAAATACGGGAGAGTATCTAGGAACATTAAGCTCTGTCACATCACTTCACCTGATGAAGGCAACCGGGTGCAAAATATGATTGCTGTAAAGCCACTTTAAGTTACTGTTTAATAAGTAGGGCAAAGATCTATTACACAAGTAGGTCAATTGAATCAAAACAATGTTTTACGTGGTCGGCGGACAAAAAATAATCACACTTCATGAAGCGGCTAGCACGCTGCAAGGGCTGCACCCCGGAAGCATTTAAGATACGGAGACTATGGACTACAAACTTCGGCTGGACGAGCGTTGTCCTTTGTTTGTAGCACAGGGTTGAGTCGTGCAAATATAGAACGTTAAGATTGCACTACAGATCGACAGTAGACTACGAGGGAAGAGGCGGAGAATGAAACAACACGCAAAGATTTTCTTGTTTTCATCACAGTTCACAAAAATGCAAGTCAGTTTTGCATGTGATCTTAAAATGAACAGTCACGTGATTTTGATCATGCACAGTAGCATGTTTAACCGTAGTCGTAGTCCGTACGTAGTCGCCCTATCTTAAACTCCCTAATGTCACTTGGTACGGGAGAACCAATGGCAGTTGGTCTCTGTAACAAAATGTTAAAAGTCTCCAAAAAATGTGTATTTCAAGACGAATTAAGCACCTAAGGAAAATTACCGTTGGTTATATACCCCTTTGGTGACATCCTAAACATATAGAAGTCTTTATTAAGAAACCGGTCACAACAAACGTGTGGCTTTACAATCAATGACTAACTAAGCTAAGCTAAAATACCTATCAAATGTAATAGAAAATTAAAAAATATATCGTTAAAAAGACACCTATTTACAAAAGCCCGTCATTTGAATCGTTCCGTTTTTACTCTAAGGAGCATCAAGTCATGACCCCTTTCTCTAAGAACTCTATTACGCTTATTTGGAAGCAAGTAGCCATGCTACTGTCCCTACGCATCAGATATCAAAGTGATCTCAAGTTGTTTGTATAGCCAAAACGATAGCCTCGACGGAATAAGCCGTCAATCCGATCTAAATGTTTGTTTTGATAGGCAGAGCCCCACACTTTTAATCCATACAGAAATAATGACATTGTCAAAGATTCGAAAAGTTCACTAAGTTAAGCTGATCTTTAGTGTACCCATGATACTTGTATCCTTTAAGAATATACTGTCGACCTGCAGCTCTAGAAAGTAAACCAGTCCAATAACGAGGATCTTCTTAGAAAGCATTTCCCAAAAGTTTCAGCCACTCAATCTTATTGTATTATTTCATTTGAAAGAAAAGGTTTATGTTTTCAGGGTTGATAACAGGGCTGATGTATTAATGCCTTAGACTCTCTGCCGATGATTTTGCTTACAGTATTCCACCAACCCTTGGTCCCAGTTCCATGTTTTTTATTTCCATTGCGTACAGCCTCCACTTGGTTGTTGCCGATTAGCTCATTTATCTTTGCTTGTCGGTCAGCATTTCTTGGCGTTCCTATTTCTGATGGTACACAGGTGTTTAACCAGTGGCGACATATATGGGGGGGGGGGGGGGGTTTCCTTGAAGACACCTTGATCACGGGGAAGCATTCGTTGAATATAACTCGGAGGGTGTTATCAAATAAATGGATCGCCCCGTTGATCATACGTGCAAAGATTCATATCATATAAAAAAAATTCATTTCATACATTGCCTGGAATATTGTTATCTCAAACTACGTTGACGTCAAAATAGCTAACGCTAAGTTTAGTTTTTTGAGAAAAGGACAAAGGAGGAGAAAATTTAGGAAAAGTAGAATCGAAACATGACATGCCGAGGAGGTATCTAAAACCTCATATCAGTTCGTTGTTGTTTCTTTTTTTGCCAGAAGTTGAAATGACAACATTACACCGATTTCGTCTGCAGAAGAGGATATTTTGGAACTCTCTTCTGAATACAGGATTCATCCCAGCGTATATAAACGGATTTATTGTGTTTGATAGATAGAGGAAAAACATGCAAAGTAGTTCAACGCTTCGTGGCATCATCGCAACTAGACGGAAACGCCGTAAAACAACGATAACCCAAAATGGGATCCAGCAAATCATGAACGCAAACACAATTGCGAAAAGAGATTTACTGCGATTGATCTCATGTAAACTGAGAGACGATAACGTATTGACGTTGTGTTGTCGGATCACTTTCGCGACCCTTGTGTAGCTAAAAAGAGTAGCTATGAGTGGGGTTAAAAAAAAGAAAACAAGAACAATGCTATAACTGATCGTTTTTCCTATCTTGCTGAGATGAGCAATGGAGCACTGAGCGTACCCTGGTACAAATTCGTACGCTTGAAGACCAGCCAGGCGAGAGACTGCTGCGTAGCAAGCAACAGAAAACCAAACGATAGACAACAACAAAAGCGACTTTCCCGCTGTTCTCACATATGATTTATTTCATATACAATTAAGGCATTTGTCACAAAAGCAAAATATCACAACTCATGATCAGTTGACATGTCAGCTCCACCTAAATCTAACATGCGCAGTTTTGCCGTTTTAAATCAATCCTGCAACGTTAAAATTACGTTACGGTTATAATAAATTTAGTAGATTAAAAGTATGTAAGCTAATAGATTAATAAGGAAACTTTGAAATACGATGAAGTTAAGTAAAAAATGCAAATTTTTCAAAGCATGACTGCAAAAATCGGTTGCCATAGAAACGTTTCCTCCGTTGACGAACACCTTAAAACAAACTCTAAAAGGACACCACCTCCCCAATATGGATGATTATTCTCTACCGTGGATCATGTTTTCTAGTGTGAACAAAGTAAAACGCCACATTGCCTTGATGGCGTCAAAAAGGGGATAAATCAAAGAAAAGCATTCCAAAACTTTTCGTCATAAACTGTAAACTAAGATTGTAAATAGCAGATAATTAAAAAGAAATTAAAAAACATTTAAATGGAAGATCAACGTAAGCAGAGAGGATGAGGAAAAATAGATATCGTCCCTCCATTATCCTGCTTCGGAAAAGCGTCACATGTCTCAAGATTCCGTCTGCAAAAAGATTTTTTTTAAACCTCATCAGTTGACATCTCTTTTCTACTGGAAACGGAAATGGCAAATTCACGATTTCGCCCGCAGCAGAGGAGATTTCGAAATTCTTTTCTGAATACAGGATTCATCCCGGCGTAAATAAACGGATTTATTGCGTTGGACAGGTAGAAGAGAAACATGCAGAAAAGTTCAACACTTCGTGGCATC